TTTTAACAGCAGTTACTAGCTCCTGTGGATTACTGCTGGACTTCTGAAGCTGCTCAACGCTCTTCTTTAATAAAGCATTTTCAGTATGTAGGCTTTCTATTTCCTTCTGCAACAAGAAAAAAGATGCATTCAACAAAAAGCAAAACATCTTGCATAAATCTAAATAATAGATTATTAAGTTATATAGACCATTCATTTTTCATATAACCCACTGACTTTATGATAAGTATGCTGCTTGATATGATGATGACTCACATAAATAAATGTATCTTTAGATCATTAACTACCTTCATTCAAGTACACTCTACCATGCTGTACATGCTTTGCATACCTGCTGTGTATCTGAGTCCCCAGACTTTTCTTCCTTAAGCTGTGAGATGTGCTTCTCCCAATCTGACTTCTCCTTTTCCAGCTGGGTAAAGATAAAGGAAATTGGTCACTTCATCCTGTATTTTCATACATTCCATTTATTCAAAATGTTTTGTGATTTTAACCAAACCTATAAATGATGTGATATAAAATAAAAATTAAACTCACTTCTCTAATCTGCTGCTCTGCTTTCTGCAGATTCAGTTCTGCAGCTTCCAACTGGTTCTTCAGTTTCCCATGTTCTACCTCTGATACTTTTACTTGTTCTTCTTCTTTGGAGGTATGCTTGCTTGTCATGACAGCTAATTCTTTTTGTAATGACTGTTTATCTGCCTCAGCAGCATGAAATAAAACTTTCATACTTTCATTTTCTTTTTGTGCATTCTTTAACTGCTCTCGAAGATCCTCATTATCATTAGCTCTTTGGTTTTGAACTGCATCCTGTAGTTCTTGGAATTTATTTTGTTCTTGTCTAACCTGTATCATCAGATTAGATATTTCTTGCTGTTGGGAATCTTTGCCAATCTTTACCTGATTTAATTCTTCCTGTTATAAGGAGAAAAAATACAACTCTATACATGACAACATTAAGAAACAACTATGATTATTCAATATGATAATAATTCAACCATTAAGATTTTGACCTAAGTACATAAATGCTACACCACACCTTTAATACTGATAACTGCTGCTGTGTCAGAGCAAGCTGTGCAGCAAGAGAGGCTTTCTCCTCCTTCAGGGTTATAACTTCTGATATGCTCACACTTGAACTTGCTTGCTGACTCTGCTCACTTTTAGCAACTAGTAACTCTGCCTTTTCCTCTAGGAGTCTGAAAACAGAATATCAGACATCAATACACAGACAAAAACATGCAAAAATGTTATTCATCTGTTAGTCAACTCTCATGTTCAGTAAAACCTATTAGACCTTACTTCTGATTTTTCTGCAACAATTGTGTTAATGATGTATTCAATTCCCCTATTTTTCCATTCTTTTCCAGCAGCTGAGATTTCATGCTATCATTTTCACTGACAATGGTTGTAATCTGCTTCAGGAGACCTTGTGGGTCACAGCTTGCAGTGGGAGCAAAGGCTTGACTGGGATGCATGGCCATCATACTTGATGGAATCATTGTATTTGAAAACTGACCTCTTTCCACATTTTGTTCTACCTTTTCTAACTGGAATAAGGTCAGAGACACGATGAGTGAAAGAAATACATGAATATGATAAGAAAGAAATATAAATCAAAAATCACTCACTGGCTATTTGAATTATGTCAACATTTTGAAAACTAAAATGTCTTACTTTTCCGTGGGGGAAAATGAAGTCAATCTAGTCTATATAAATATTTCTTTGATGGAATGAACAGGTTAATTAACAAAGTAAGGGACATTATTTTACCTTACTGGAGATTTTGTCTAACTGATCTGACATCTTGGATAGTGATATTCTAAGATCTGTATTTTGGGATCTTGACTCTGAAAAGAGGAGGGAAAGCGTGGGGTCTGGTACAGCAGGAGTTGGAGCTGGAGGAACTGCCTGAGGTGCTGTGGTTAGTCCTGCTCCTGGGTATGCTGCATGCTGACAAAGTTGAAAAAGGCTATTATATAAATTTGTGGGTATCTAATAACAATCCAATGGATGTCACTAAAACTTTTAAAAATCAATTTTGTCCTGTATTTTCTTTTGTGTTCATTTTCTATACATTATTAGAAGAGAAAAGAAAAACTCTTAAGTTATTCATCCACTTCTATAAAAAAAAATATACACAAACCATCATTCCAGGCTGTTGCCATGCAGCTGACTGATAAACAACCAAGGGCTGTGGAGAAACAAGATTAGGAGGTCTGGGAGCTGGCTCTGGTTTGCTCACATCAGAGCGAGCAGAGGGAGCTCGGGGTCTGACCGCAGGTGTTGCTGCTAACTCCTCTATTGACCCAGATATAGAACCACTGTTGTATTTTGCATTTCTTCTTGAGATTTCCTCCTGAGGTGTGTATATAACAGAAAAGTATGAAAAAAATGTAATATACTAATATCACATCTACTTTGAACTTTTATGCTATGTTTACCAAACTTTATACTCTCAAAGTTAAAATCTTTTCTAAAATTCAGATCCCGTGAGATTTGATCCACAGTACACACAAGGCATATAACACAGTTAAAATAAAAAACAGGGTGCATACCACTTCGCTCTCAGAATCAGTGGGTGGTGTATGAATGTTGCTAGGTCTAGTGGGAAGCAAGGGATGACCCACTCTCGCCATGCGTGAGACAAGTGATGCCTTTGTGTTGGTGTGTGCTTCTTCCTTAGGGCTGGTCCCACTATCTAGGGTAAGATTCAAGGAAAGCCTTTAAAACATGTATTCTTGTGTCTAACTACTTTGTGATATGTCCAAATACTAAGTCATGTGACTTTGTGTCAGTCATCAAAGAAATCATTTGCAGTTCACATCACTAACAAAAAGGAGGGCAATTCAAGTTTGAAATTAAAGTCCTCACCTTCAGGTAGCATATCCAATGTACTGGAACTGATGTCATTTTCCTCTCTGTGGCCATGATGGGAGTCAACTTGTGGGGTGCTTCTGCCCGAATGGTCACTTCCCTTCTGTTTTATTCGCTCTACACTCACATCATACATGAAAACAGAGTTCTTCTCCTGTCAAACAAAAATGTTCTAATTAATGTGTATTTTCATATTTCTGACTTCCTTTTATCCTTACTGATACTAAACTGATTATATTTCCAATCAATGTATACCATATTAATTAACCCATATAAACTGCATCCAAACCTACAAGTAAGTACACTACAACCATACAAAAGCCTTCTACATTTTTGTATTGATATAGGAGATATAGTCAATATTTTCTGTCTCTCTCCTTCCTTATCTATTTTCTCTCACACTCTCGCCCTCTCTCCTCTCTCCTTCTCTCACATTTTGGTTTTGTTCTTTCTCCCTTTTGTGCATTGATATGGTTGAAAAAGACAACCCTTACTCCTCCCTCTCCCCCCCCCCCCCCTCCCCTTCGGTCCTCCTTCTGATCTGTTTGTCTCTATCTACCTCTCTCTCTCTCCGTATACCTTTTACCCCTCCTTCTCATTCTCCCATTCCATCTCATCTATATGTTTGCTGCCATTTCTTCTCCTTCTATGTCTGTCTATCTATCTCTCTCTCTCTCTCTCACATCCTTTCTCTTTCTCCTCCTCTCCTTTTCTCTACCCTTCTCTTTCTCCCTCTCCCACTTTTTTGTCTCCCTCCCTTTCTCCATTTCTTCATCTCTCTTTTTTTTTCTTCCAATCCCTTTCTTCCTTCCTCTCCCTCTCCCTTTCCTTCGACCTCTGTCTGACTCTTTGTCTCTTCTTCTTCTCTCTCTCTCTCTCTCTCCTTCCTTGCTTTTCTCTCTCTCTCTCTCTCTCTTTACTTTCTCTCTCTCTCTTACTTTTTCTCTCTCTCTTTTACTTTTTCTCTCTCTCTACTTTTTCTCTCTCTTTTACTTTTTCTCTCTCTCTCTTTTTCTCTCTCTACTTTTTCTCTCTCTTTACTTTTCTCTCTCTTTACTTTTCTCTCTCTCTTTACTTTTTCTCTTTTACTTTCTCTCTCTCTCTTTTTCTCTTTTGCTCACCCCCTCTCTTTCTCTCTTGCTCACTCTCTCTCTTTCTTGCTCACTCACTCTCTCTCTCACTTGCTCGTTCACTTCCTCTCTTTCTTGCTCGCTCACTCCCTCTCTCTCTTGCTCACTCACTCCCTCTCTCTCTCTTGTTCGCTCACTTCCTCTCTCTCTTGCTCACTTACTCTCTTTCTCTCTTGCTCAATCACTCCCTCTCTCTTTCTCTCTTGCTCGTTCGCTCCTCTCTTTTTCTCATGCTCGCTCTCTCTCTCTCTCTCTCTTCTCTCTCTCTCTCTCTCAATCTCTCTCTTTCTCTCTCTCTTGCTCAACTCTCTCTCGCTTTCCTCTCTTTCTCTCATTCTCTCTCTCTCATCTCTCTTGCTTTTCTCTCTCTTGCTTTCTCTCTCTCTCTCTCTCTTTTCCTCTCATTTCTCTCGCTTGCTCTCTCTCTTCTCTTCTCTCTCTCTCTCTCTCTCTCTTTCTCTCTTGCTCACTCTCTCTCTCTTTTTCTCTTGCTCCCTCTCTCTTTCTCTCTTGCTCACTCTCTCTCTCTCTTGCCCTATCTCTTCCTCTCCTCTTCTCTCTTGCTCACTCTCTCTCTTTCTCTCTTGCTGGCTCTCTCTCACTCTCTCTTGTTCACTTGCACACTCTCTCTCTCTTGATTGCTCACTAGCTCTCTCTCTCTTCTGATCGTTCACTCTCTCTCTCTCTTGCTCACTGGCTCTCTTTCTCCCTTGCTTGCTCACTGGCTTTCTCTCTCTTGCTCACTCGCTTCCTCTCTCTTTTGCTAGCATGTTTCTTCTCCACTTTGCTTGCTCTCTCTCTTCTTGCTCACTTGCTTCCCTCTCTTTCTTTTGCTAGCATATTTCTTCTCACTCTTGCTTGCTCTCTCTCTCTCTTGCTTGCTCGCTTGCTCTCTCTCTCTTGCTTGCTCACTTGCTCTCTCTTTCTCTTGTTTGCTCACTTACTCTCTCTCATTTGCTTGCTCGCTCTCTCTTTCTCTCTTATCGTCACCCTCTCTCCTCCTCTTACTCGCTCCCTCATCCTCTCTCTCTCCTCTCTCTCTCTCTCTCTCTCTCTCTCTCTCTCTCTCTCTCTCTCTCTCTCTCTCTCTCTCTCCTCTCTCCATCTCTCTCTCAACTTGCTCGCCTCTCTCACTTGCACTTGCTCGCTCTCTCTCACTTGCTCGCTCTCTCTCACTTGCTCGCTCTCTCACCTTGCTTCGCTCTCTCCTCACTTTTCGCTCGCTTCTCTTCTCACTTGCTCGCTCCTCTCTCACTTGCCGCTCTTCTCACACTTGCTCGCTCTTCTCTCACTACTGCTCGTCTCTTGCTCACTGCGCGCGCTCTCTGCGGTCACTTTGCTCGCTCTCTCTCTCTCCGCTCTCTGCTCGCTCTCTCTCTCCTCACTTGCTCGCTCGCACTTGCTCGCTCTCTCTCACTTGCTCGCTCTCTCTCACTTGCTCGCTCTCTCTCACTTGCTCGCTCTCTTCACTTGCTCGCTCCTCTCACTTTGCTCGCTCTCTCTCACGTTGCTCGCCTTCTCTCACCTCCTGCTCTCTCTCACCTTGCTCGCTCTCTCTCACTTGCTCGCTCTCTCTCACTCTTCTTCTGCTCTCGGTCTCTCTCATTGCTCGCTCTCTTTCTCCTTGCCTCGCTCTCTCTCACTTGCTCGCTCTCTCTCACTGGCTCGCTCTCTCTCACTTGCTCGCTCTCTCTCACTTGCTCGCTCTCTCTCACTTGCTCGGTGCTCCTTCTGCTCTTCAAGTATGGCTCGCGATCTTCCTCTCACTTGCTCGCTCTCTCTCACTTCTGTCTCTCTCGAGCGGAGCTCCGCGATCTCTCTCACTGCTCGTCGTCGTCGCTCGACTTGCTCGCCTGCTCTTGCTACGGGTTTGCTCGGTCTCGTCGTCACGATGCTCGCGCGGTCTGCACTTGCTCGCTGCTACCTCACTTGCTCGCTCTCCTACATTGCTGGCTCTCGCGTCGCACAAGTTGCTCGCCGGATCTCTCTCATCGTGGCTCGCTATGCTCGCACTTGGCTGCGCTCTCTCTACTTGCGCTCTCGTTCACAAGGCTAGCTTCGCTGCGATTCTCTCACTTGCGTCGCATCTCTACTCTTACTATGTCGACTGGTCTCAGCTCAGCGGTTGCTCGCATCTCTCTCACTTGCTCGCATCTCTCTCAGTGCTCGATCGTCTCTTCTCGACTTGACTCGCGGGGTCTCGTCGGCCATTTCGCGCATCTGCTCAAGCACTTGCTCGCTACGTCCTACTCGACTTTCTCGCCGTTCTCAGTCTCACCTATTGCTCGCTCTCTGAGTCTCAACTTCCCGCTCGCTCGTCTCTCACTTTGCTCGCTCTCTCTCACTTGCTCGCTCTCTCTCATCTTGCTCGTCTCATTGCTCTCACTTGCTCGCTCTCTCTCAACTTGCTCGCTCTCATCTCACTTGCTCGCTTCTCTCTCACTTGCTCGCTCTCTCTCTCACTTGCTCGCTTCTCTCACTTGCTCGCTCTCTCTCACTTGCTCGCTCTCTCTCACTTGCTCGCTCTCTCTCACTTGCTGCTCTCTCACTCCTCGCTCGCTCTCTGCTGCTCGCGCTCGTCTCCTTGCTTGCGCTCTCTTTCAACTTGCTCGCTCTCTCTGCACGATTGCTCGCTCTCTTACTTACTTGTCGCTCTCTGCTCGCTCTCTCTTACTTGCTCGCTCTCTCGCTTGCTTGTTTTCTGTCTCTCTCTTGCTCCCTTGTACTTCATCCACTGGACAAATTAAATCCATCAAATCAAAATGTCCTATGTCAGCTTGGGGAAGTGGTCCTGGCAAAGATGTTTGGGATGGGCAATGGTTAATGCTTTACTCAAATAAATGTGGAAGACATCAAAGGTCATATTGCACTATTTGGGATGGGCAAGGAGCAGGGCAAATGAACAAGTCAAAAAGTTTGTAAAGAAAAGCCAAGAGTCTGACCTCCCTTGACAAAGGCTGGAAGCGAAGCATGTAAGAGCTTTTTCTTTGACGTCCTTATATAGGTCAGCTGTGTGAGCATTGTAAAGGCATTACTGAATGGTTTGATTAATGGAGGGGTAGAGATGAGGGGGTTATGCTTCATGTCATTTAGGGTAGGTGGGGCAACTGTACTGGTTAACCACAAGGATGCAGTGGGATATATGACTTGACATCTCTGTCTGTTTATGTGTCTATAACTCTTTATTCATCTGTCCTCACTTTATCTTTCTATACTTTTCACTCTACCAGTGTCTCAAGCTATACCTACCTTTAGCTATGCCTATCTTCTTTTAAAATTTCTCTTATTCCAAAGCTTTTATTTTTTGTTATCATTTCTCCTTACTATTTCCTGCTGTTCTCTAATAATCTCTTTCTCCCTCTATAATCTTTCTATCACTTAATCTATCTATCCATTCCTTTGCCTCTATTCCTGTCTCAATTACCTTTTTCTCCAGAAGAAAAATTAATCTCCGACTTTTTTTCTGTAACCCGAGAAGGCCACACTCCAACCC